ACCAACCTCATCCCGCCCCCTTGACCTGTCCGTCCTCCCTGGACTGACCTATCCCCTTCCTAACTCCCTACCTACACTCACCTTTACTGGCTCCATCCCCGCCTCTTCGACCTGTTTGTTTCCTCTCCACCTATCCTCTCCTCTATCCCTCTTCTATCCGCCTCCCACTCTCTCCCTATTTATTTCAAAACCCCCTTCCCCTCCCCCTTTTCTGAAGAAGGGTCTCGGCCCGAAACGTCAGCCTCTCTGCTCCTATGATGCTGCTTGGCTTGCTGTGTTCATCCAGCCCTGCACCTTGTTCTAAAAGAGAGCAACACCTCTTTCAGTTTTGTGCAGTATTAACTTAGTTCAGTGCTTCTCAAATATGGATTGCAATCCCCACTGAAGTCAGAGAAACAATAAATGAGTCCGATCGCCCCCGTCCCCCAAGACTGGTATCTGGCCTCCTGGCCAGTCTCTCCCCAAAACATGGCAGAGCAGAGCAATTGAACTGGACGGATGGACAAACAGGCTTCTAAATATTGACAACCCCAAATAAGCAGCTACAGGTCTCAGGTTTGTGCTGAACAGGGAGATGGCTGACAGATTTCTATTAGAGACATGCCCAGATGAACAAATGCCATCTTTATAGAGGACAATGGGCAACAGAGCATTTGCATAGCTCTCTCAGGCTAAACTGTCGGTGAAAAGGATTTTCACCGATTCATCTATCAACAGGATTGTGAACAGCTTGAAACTTCCATAAGAGGAAAAAATAACATTTTCATCTCGTAAACAAAAATACAGATTCCTATTGATATCATGCATTATATGTTGATCTGTTACGCAGAACATCAATAATTATACACCGAATGCTACTGCGCTGCTTTAGTTATTTTTGCTGGTATGTGACATCAGGTTGATTTTCAACTGTTATAATAGGGTTACACTGAAAAATAATTTGGGAGACACTGATCTAGATGACATGCATAACACTTCATAATGAGGTGTGATCCAACAATGCTCTGATATGAGGCAAAACTGCTACTACTGAACAAAGTATGACACTATCATATTGTTAGGAATTGTCAAATGTCACCAAGCAGACCAAATTGCACCAACCAATTAAACAACATAAATCTGAGGGGAGAAAGAAAAGAGGGGTGGAAATCAGGTCCCAACAATTATATGTTTCTTTAGTTCCTTGCATAGATGGATTTGTGCCTGAGCAACCCATTCAAAGTACATGTAATAGATACTTTACAACATTGAAGGAAACGTGCTCTATTTCTGCACTAGATATTGCACAGATTTAACTGTCAATATCTTTGTGCAAGTGATAGTCACCAAAGGAATCTATTTAAGCATTTTAATGAAAGACTCACCTTAACATACCGTGAATTAGTACGAAGCAGCTTACGGACAACCAGCAAGAGAAAATCCATTTCTTCAGTGCGTTCATGGACCTAAACATGATGAAATAAGTAGGTACAGAAGCAGATCATTTTTCCTGTTTCATACATCAACTTGATTTAATCTTTACCATTATCCCAACATGCAATCTTTTTCCAATTATCATCTGAATCTAAACCATCAGATATAATCTTAATTCTAGAACACAAACAACTTGAGCAGTATAAAGAGCTTTAAGGGCATTCTTCAGGAAATTGGTTTAACTTGCTTTCCCATGCCAAATTTTCACCCCCAATTTCCTGGAAGCTGCAGACTCTTGCTTGGCTCAGAAGTACAAAAAATTTCCGAAGTCTCAGCCCATCTGATCCTTTTGACAGATAAAACCAGCTGACTGGTAACAGGCGAGGTAATCCCAGTTGATGTTTGTTTTATCCCTAACTCAAGGACATTAACATCAATTACAAATCTAAAGTGTTGCTCACATTGAACTGAGTTTGCTTGATACCACAGAGAAAATCCCTGGAACACACATTCAGGGCTAAACTGGGCAGCTCCCAAAACAAGGATCAGTTGTATAATTATCCCACAATAACCAGACATTTTTGTAGTAGATCTGTTCAGAGATGATTTAATACACCTCTGGAGCATGTAGGACTTGAACCTGGACCTCCTGGATTAAAGGTAGAGGAAACACCTCTATGCCACAACAGCCCACTCGAAGTTGCTCAAAATACTGCTCTAGGTTCAAAGACCTTCACCTGCTTCATCAATGATCTTCCGTAAGGTCAGAAGTGGGATGTTTACTCATCATTATAGTGTCCAATTCCATTCAGAGCTCCTCAGATAATGAGCCATCTTGTGTCTGTAAGCAGGACTGGTCAACAACCAAGTTTGGACTGATAAGTGAAAAGTAACATTGGCACCACGTCAATGTTAGGTATGGCCACTGCCAACAGTAGAAAGTCGAAATAAAATCCAAAAGAACTGCGAATACTGTAAATCAGAAACAAAAACAGAAGTTGCTGGAAAAGCTCAGCAGGTCTGGCAGCATCTGTGAAGGGAAATCAGAGTTAACGTTTCAGGTCGGATGACCCTTCCTTAGAACTGATGGTAGGTAGGAAACTGTCAGATTATATGCAGAAGATTGGATGAGGGAGGGGCTAAGGAGTAAATAATATGTGAGGATAGAGGCCAGAGAGAGAGAGAGACAAACAGTTGGACAGACAAAGGTGTAGATAACGATCTGGCTAGGTGTGTGAATAGCATTAATGGAGGCTGTTAGTGGTTAATAATAGGTAGTGTGTAATAGCAAACTATGTGTTGGTGTGTGGGGTGGGGGGCTTGGACATGGAAGAGTCCAGGCTCTAAAATTATCAAACTCAATAGAGTCCAGACAGCTGCTAAGTCCCCAAGCAGAAAATGAGGTGTTCTTCTTCCAGCTTGTGCTGAACTTCACTGGAACACTGCAGCAAGCCTGAGACAGAGATGTTGGCCAGGGAACAGAGTGGTGTGTTAAAGTGAGAGGCAACTAGAAGGTCAGGTCAATTTTGCAGGCAGAATGTAGGTGTTCTGCGAAGCAGTCATTCAGTTTCCCCAGTGTAGAGGAGACCACGTTGTGAGCAGTAAATACAGTAGACTAGATTGTGACAAGTGCAGGTAAAATGCTGCTTCACCACAAAGGTATGTTTGGGCCCTTGGATATTGAGGAGGCAGAAGATAAGTGGGCAGGTGTTACACCTTCGGCGACTGCAGGGGAGTTGGGAGCCAAGGCGTGTCCCGAAGGGAACGGTCCCTGTGGAAGGCAGACAAGGGGAAGAGATGAGAATGTGTGTCTGGTGGTGGCATCTCACTGGAAGTGCCATAAATGACGTCTGATGATCTTCCGGATGTGGATGCTGGGGGGATGGTAGGTAAGGACAAGGGGAACCCTATCAGTGTGCGGGAGAGAACAGAGGGGGTAAGGGCAGATGTGTGCGAGATGGGTTGGACCCGGTTGACAGCCCTGATGACAACAGTGCTGGGGAATTCTCGGGTGAAGAAGGCGGCAGACATTTCGGAGGGTCCCTTGTCGAAGTTGGTCTCATCGGAACATATGTGACAGAGACACAGGGACTGGGAGGCTGGAATGGGGTCTTTACAGGAAGGGGTGTGAGGATGTATAGTCCACGTAGCTGTGGGAGTCAGTGGGTTTATAGTGGATATTAGTGGCCAGTCTATCCCCAGAAATGGAAACAGATGTTGAGGAAGGGAAGGGAGGAATCAGAGGTAGACCAGGCGAAAGCGAGGGCAGAGTGGAAATTGCAAGCGAAATCGATTAACTTTTCCAAATCCGGATGAGACAGGGAAGCAGCACCGATGATATTATCAATACATTGGAGAAAGAGTTGTGGGTGGGAGCCGAAATAGAACTGGAACAAGGAATGCTGCACATACCCCCACAAAGAGACAGGCATAACTGGGGCCCATGCACGCACCCATGGCCACCCCTCTGACCTGATTTAATTGCAAGGAGTTAAAAGAGATGTTGTTCAGTGAGGACGACCTCACTGGTGGTGATTCAGAACTTTGCTCCAGGAGGAAGCAGACAGCCCTGAGAATATCCTGGTGGGGGATGGACATGTAAAGCATTTGCACATCAATGGTAAAGAGCAGGGGGCTGGAGCCTGCTAAGTGGAAATTCCAAAACTGGCATAAAGCGTCAGAGGAATCACAGGTTTAAGTGGGCAGGGACTGGACCAGGTGAGAAAGACCGAGTCAAGGTAGGAAAAGATGAGTTCTGTGGGGCAAGAGCAGGCAGAAACAACAGGTCTGCCCAGGCAGTCCTGTTTGTGCATTTTCAGAAGGAGGTAGAAGCTTGCTACGGAGGGCGAGGGGAATGTCAGCTTAGAGGCAGTGGGGAGGAGATCACCAGAAGAAATGAGGTCAGTTACCGTAGTTGTTAAAATGGCCTGTTGATCTATGGTGGGGTCATGGTCCAGGAAGAGGTAGCTGAGAGCTGGCACTCAGCCTCTGCAATGGAGGAGGTCAATATGCCAAAACTACAACAGTACCACCCTTATTGGCAGGCTGAACAACAAAGTCAGAGTTGGACCAAAGCACACAGAGTGCAGTCAGTTCAGAGGGAGACAGATTGAATTGAGTGAAGTGGGGAGGCGGGGGGGGGCGCGGCCGCAGAGAAATTGAGGCAACCAATGTCACACTGACAGTTCTTAATGAACAAATCGAGTGCAGGTAAAAGGCCAGAGGGAAGGGTCTGTAGGACAAGGAGAGGACTCTTGTCCAAAGAAATGGGCACAAAGGCAAAGACGACGGAAGAAGAATTCAACGTCATGTCATGCCCGAAATTCATTAAAATAGGGGCGCAGAAGGATAAAACTGAGACCTTTGCTGAGTACAGAACTTTTAGCAACGGACAGCGCAAGTTTAGGAGGGTTGGTGAATACCTGGCAGGAGACAGGATTGGGGGAGGGGATGGAGTCAGAAGGAAGTGGAGGAGAGAAAAGTTCCAGACGGCCATCGGTATCTCCAAATTATTGCATCTTGTGTGCTTTGATGCCCAAAGGAAAAGAAAATGTTACTTGTTAGCAAGAAGAATAAGCCAGAGGATTAAGTGGAACTGCAGAGTTGTGCAGCCCTGAGCTAGCGTGATGTGATGGTGTTGGAGGGAGAGGTCGAGAATGTGCATGTGACACCGCATGCCACTGAGTGTGGATCTCAAGATGCAGCGAGAGCAGCTGTCTGTGGAACATTGAACATCACAGAGATATCTGTAATCCTGGGTGGATTCAAAGCACGAGGGATGAAACTTAAGGTGGAATCCATGTGGGGCGAGTCTGAGCCAGAGGCGGTCACTGAGGAATAAGAACAAAAACAGAAGTTGCTGGAAAAGTTCAGCAGGTCTGGCAGCAGCTGTGAAGAAAAAAATCAGACTTCAGGGTTCTGGATTCTGGGGAAGGGTCACAGGGCCTGAAACATTAACTCTGATTTTTCCTTCACAGCTGCTGCCAGACCTGCTGAGCTTTCCCAGCAACTTCTGTTTTTGTTCCTGATTTACAGCATCCACAGTTCTTTCAGTTTTTATGCCTAGAAGAGATGTGGCAGTGAGTTAAATACTAAATAAAAACCAAAAGAATTGCAGATGCTGTAAATCAGGAACAAAAATAGAAGTTACTGGAAAAGCTCAGCAGGTCTGGCAGCATCTGTGAAGAGAAATCAGAGTTAACGTTTCAGGTCCAATGACCCTTCCTCAGAACTTATGGAGGCTGAGAAAATATCAGTTTAAATGCAGAAGATAGGGTGGTGGGGGTGGGGAAGAGGATAAACAGTAAACAATAAGTGGGGATAGAACCCAGAGAAGGAGAACAACTGGACAGATAAAGCAGTGGATAACGATCTGGCTAGGAGAGCGAATAGCTGTTAATGAAAACTGTTAGTGGTTAACAATAAGTACCGCAGTGTGTAGTGGCAGACTATGTGATATTCTAACTATTTCCCTTGGTGATTCAATTGCATTACTATTGCTGAACACCCCCACAACATACACCACCAAGCACTCCATCCCATCCATCATGATGGGATAGCAGTAACGTCACTGGGCTAGTAATCTGGAGATGCTTGTGGAATTTGAAACCAATTGATAAATGCAAATAGTTAATCAAAAAATGTGGAATTGAAAGCTGGTCTCAGCAACCCAGTGGCATTGAGTCAAAACAAAAACAAAGTTGCTGGAAAAGCTCAGCAGGTCTGGCAGCATCTGTGGAGGAGAAAAAGAGTTAACGTTTTGGGTCCGGTGACCCATCCTCAGAACTCATTGGGTGAAAATCTTGGACCACTCTCATTATTTCATTGTGGGTCTACCTACCGCGGTTCAAGGCAACAGCTCACCAGCACCTTCTCAAGGGCAACTTGGTGCAACCAGTAGATGTAGGTCCAACTGGCAACAGCTACATCCCATCAATGAATAAAAGCAAAACATGAGTGACCCTGAACATATCAACTGTCATAAAAATCCATCTGGCTCACAGTCATCTGGGAAAGAAAATCTACCAACATCACCAGGTCTGATCTACATATAACCCCAGACCCACAACACCAACATCAATTATCCTAAGCAGCTCTCAATTACCTCAGCAAGCCACTCAATTGTACCAAACCATTAGGTGGACTGCAGCAATTCAAGGTGACATCTCATTACCTCCTTCTCACTGACAATTAAGGTTAACCCTAACCCTATGCTTTACTTAATAGTGACACGCAAATTCAAATAATACAAAAAGTTCAGGGAACCTCTCAGGCAAACAGGCAAATCTAACTGGTCCATCCATACAAAGAAAGTCACGATAATTGCAGGTCCAAGCTGTGAACTGTGGTGGGAATCTCACCTCCTGACCAAAGTTACCTCTAACAGGGAAAATAGACAGCATAGGCAATAGGAGGAACTGTAAGGGAAAAATAGTGTCGGTTTCCTGGTAATCATAAAGTACCTACTGCAGCTAGGAGATGTGAACATGTGAAATGATTTGATAACAGTCACGTGTACCAACTTAAAATGTAAACTTTGCGAGCACGATTAGATCGAGGTATGGGTGACTAAATATATAATGTTTTAATTGGAAGCTTGTTACCTGCAAAAAAATTGCATAAAACCTTTGTTCTTGCAATCAAGACTTGAGCTGCATGCCATTTTTCGATACGTACATCTCCCATGCATGCAAATTGAGTTTAAACAAATTAACCTAAGTCTTGTCTGGTCTAAGCAGAAGCAAAGGATTAAACTCATCCTTTCACTTATAAGTTGCTTGCACGCAAGGTTCCACACACAGCAACTAGCATCAACATGCCAATCATGGCACTGACATCCAGTTCCGGATGTCACTGTCGTGTACGCACCTTGAAGGCCTGTGCACCCAGGAAGAAACTCTGCTCATGACTCCCTAAAAACTTTCCACCAGGCGCAAGACACTACTTTTTGATACCAAGATGAGTGCAGCTCCAAAACCACTCAAACAAATCCCATCACTGCCAGAACAAAGCAATCCACTTGTCCATATTTGCCCATTCAATACAGTAAACACTCACTTCCCCCTTAGCACTGACACACAATGCAAACATTTGTACCATATGAGGTGCACTGTAGCAATTTGTCAAGGTTTGTTCCAATCCATGACCTTACCATCCACAGGAATAGGGGCAGGAGGTGCATGGGAACACCCCCACCTGCATATTCCTCTCCAAGTTATCCATCATCCTGACTTGTAACTGCATCACCATTCCTTCACTGTCACTGGGTAAAAATCCTGGGATACCTCCTAACTACATTGTGCATGTAGAGACATCATATGGACTTCACTTCAAGGAGGCTGCCCACCAACACTTTCTCAAGAGCAATTAGTAAATGTTGCCCCCACTCCCACCAGCACACCCAGACCTTAAGAATGATTTTTTTTGTTTAAATCAAGCTTCAACATTTATTGATGAAAAAGTTGATATGAAATATCCTACTTCGTCGATGAAGATGTGTGTAAATTCAGTCAGGCATTTTGCATTAACAATTTTTTGAAGGAGAACGCCTGTTGTCATGTAAGTTAGTTGCGTGTCTGCACCAACTTCCTTTTCTAATCCAACCTATTTCAAGAACAAAAACCATGAAATTATTGAAGGTAGTAACAGACATTAGGATTTTGAAGAAAAATAAATTAGGTGCATTAACTGATACCTACTTTTAAACTGATTCAACATGCCAACACAATGATACATCCAAATTCTAAGAAACATTTTGTCTATGCCACTGGAGTTTCAGTTGTCTTATTTTTCTCAAAATTAATTTTTGACCCTTGTAATGATATTCTGCCGCTATACTCAGTAAAGATTGCATTGTGATAGCTCTGAATCTGAATTCCGGTAAGTTATTTAAAAAAAAAACCTATGTCAGCCCATACTTTCGAATATTGTGCACAGTTTTGATCTCCACAAAAGTGTACAACACATTTACACAGATCATCACTAAAAATTGAGAGGATTCTCCTATCAAGAAAGACATAACAAGCTGGAAAAGAGAATGATTGAATGAGGGGTGACAAATGAGAACTTTCAAAATTATGAGGTTTGACTGGCTAGATAGAAAAATAGAAACAGAAAATTGGAGCAGGAGTAGACCATTCAGCCTTCAACACCGCTCCATCATTCAACACTCAATATGATGATGGCTGATCATCCAACTCAGGACACTGTTGCCACTGTCCCTAGCCTTTGATGTTTTTAGGCCCAAGAATATAAAACTTTTCTTTTGAAAACATTCAATGTTTTGGTCTCAACCACTTTGTACGTAGTTCCACAGGTTCACCTCTCTCTGGGTGAAGACATTTCACCTTAACTCAGTGCTAATTGGTTTACTCTGTATTCTTAAGAACACAGAACAGCATAGGAATAGGCCCTTCAGCCCACCATGTCTGCGCCAACCACGATGCCATTCTAAACTAATCCCATCTGCCTCCACATGTCTGTATCCCTCTTTTCTTTGCTTGTCATTCGTGTCTGTCTAAATGCCTCTCAAAAACTTCGTTTAGCACAGTGATCTGAAGTTTAGAAATTCTGAGCCCAATTGTATGAAGGTTCTAGGAAGAAGCTCAGATTCTCAAGATGGAAAACTGAAGCCATGATTGAATCAAGCTTCATAAACATGAAAGAGGAGGAAATTATCTCTGCTAAAAGTATTGTTACTGAGGGCTTTGTGATTGATGCAAAAGTATTTTTACCGTGTTTCTAAACGTTTAGATGTGTACTATATGCAAATAGTTTGGTTTATTCTACTTTATCTCCATTTCTTTTGCAAAATAAATGTATGTTTTATTGTTTAAAAACAAATCTGCAACATTGCATGTTTGCATTTTGGTGAAAGACCACATAGCAAAACAAAAAAACTGTTCTATCAAGTCAGAGATAGCAAGAACTGCAGATGCTGGAGTCTGAGACAACACAGTGTGGAGCTGGAGGAACACAGTAGGCCAGGCAGCATCAGAGGAGCTGGAAAGTTGACGTTTCAGGTCGGGACCTTTCTTCAGAAGAGATGACTACCACAGTCATGATTAATGTGTCTTCCACATCAGCCAGTGAAATCTTATTCCGATAACAATGAGAGCACAGATCTTTTGGTGGAAAGATAATTGTTGAAGCATAGACTGGTGTTGCACTTGAGGATCATGTGGAAAATTCAACACAGTTGATCCTACAGAAATTTCTGTAAATTCAAACAGGCCATTGTTCAGTATCTGAAAGCCTCTTTATAAGTCCCAACTCCAATTTGGCGTTGGGCTCTTCAGATGGTTCAGATTCACTTATCTTAATAGATAGCCAAGAAAGGTTAGTGAGCGTAAAACCTGTTTTAACTCTTAGTAACTATGAAATTGTAGCCTCCCCCACAAGAATACTTGCTGACTATCCACGGACTTCCAATGCAGGTTCCGAGGACAGAACCCACGGCAAGACCTCTGACTCCTTGCACAAAACCCTTCCACCAACTAATAACCAAACCAGATTCCCCAAATCCGTATGAACTCTCTTTTGACCTGGCCTGATTCAACTTCCCACACCCAATTCTCACAACCATTACCCATACTCGACCCAATTCACTTCGCCCTGATCCCAACCAGACCCACTCCCCATTATGGAACCGATGAGTGCACCTAGCCCTCTCATGTGGGCCATTTAACCCCCTCACCTGGTACTCCATCCCCTCATTACCTGACACACTTGCCTTCACTCAGCTGTCACAAATAGCTTTAGTATCTTTAGCCTTCAGAATACTGCACTGCCTGCAGTGTAAGTGGGCATGGTTTTGAAGAACTACTCCTGCCTGGAATCTTAGACTGGGCTGCACTGCTTCAACCTCAGATTGAGGTTGTTGCTTACTGTAACAGCCGTAGAGTTGTACGGCATGGAAACAGACCCTTCAGTCCAACTCATCCATGTCAATTCGATATCCTAAAATAAATCTAGTCCCATTTACCATCATTTGGCCCATTTCTCTGTAAACCTCTCCTATTCATATACTCATCCAGAAGCCTTTTAAGTATTGTAATTGTACCAGCCTCCACCACGTCCTCTGGCAGCTCATTCCATACAAGCACCACCTTCTGCATGAAAACGTTGACCCTTACGTCTCTTTTATACCTTTCATCTCTTACCTTAAACCTATGCCCTCTAGTTTTGCTCTCCCCCTACCCCAGGGAAAATACCCTGTCTATTTATGAGGAGGTGATGGCCTAATGGTATTATCGCTGGACTGTCAATCCAGAGACTCAGATAATGATCTGGGGACGTGGGTTCGAGTCCTGCCACGGCAGATGATGGAATTTGAATTCAATAAATATATGGAATTAAGAGTCTAGTGATGACCATGAATCCATTGTCGATTGTCAGGAAAAACCCATCTGGTTCACTAATGTCCTTCAGGAAAGGAAACTGCCATCTTACTTGGTCCGACCTACATGTGACTCCAGATCCACAGCAATGTGGTTGACTCTTAACTGCTCTCTGGGCAATTAGGGATGGGCAAAAACTGCTGCCTAGCCAGCGACGCCCTCATCCCGTGAATGAATAAAGGAAAAAAAAATCCCTATCCATGATTTTGTAAACCGCAGTAAGGTTATCCCTCAGCCTCAGACACTCCAGGGAAAATAGCCCCAGCTTATTCAGCCTCTCCTATAGCTCAAACCCTCCAACCACGGCAACATCCTTGTAAACCTTTTCTAAACCCTTTCAAGTTTCACAATGTCCTTCCTAAAGCAGGGAGATCAGAATTGCATTCAACAAATCAGAAGTAGCCTAATAAATGTCCTGTAGTAGGCGCAACATGACCTCCCAAATCCTGTACTCAATGCATTGGCCAATGAAGACAAGCATACCAAACGCCTTCTTCACTACCCTGTCTACCTGTGACTCCACTTTTAAGGACCTATGAACCTGCACTCCAAGGTCCCTTTGTTCAACAACACTACCCAGGACCTTACCATTAAGTGTATAAGTCCTACCCTGACATGTAAAGGAGAAGGTAGCATCAGAGGAGCAGGAAAGGTGATGTTTTGGGTCGGGTATTGGGGGAGGGGGGCAGAGCTCTGAAATAAATAGAGAGGAGGGGTGGCACTGGGCAAAGTAGGTGGGATGGTGATAGCTGAGTGCAGGTTGGGAGTGATGGGGATTGGTCAGTGAGATGGGAGGAGCAGATAGGTGGGAGAGCAGATGGACAGGTTGTGTCAGGTCAACGAGGCAGGGATGAGAGGGAGGGTTGGTCATGGGATGAGGCTGGGGTGGGGAGATTGTGAAACTGGTAAAGTCGACGTTTAAGCCATTGGGTTGTAGGTTCCTGAGGTGGAATATGAGGTGTTGCTCCTCCAGTTTCCAGGTGGCATCATTGTGACACTGGAGGAGGCCCAGGATGGACATGTCACCCAGGAAGTGAGAGGGGGAGCTGAAATGGTTCGCGACCTGAAAGTGTTGTCGTTTGTCGCAAACAGAGTGTAGGTGCTCTACAAAGCGGTCTCCAAGCCTCCGCTTGGTCTCACCGACGTAGGGGAGGCCACATTGGGAGCTGCGGATGCAATAGAACACATTAGACAGGTTCATCTGCACAGCCAATGTGGAAGGTTTATTTGGTGCCTTGAATGCAGGTGCAGAAAGAGGTGTAGGGGCAGGTGTAGCACTTCCTGCGGTTGCAGCGAAAGGTGTCGGGGGTGGTGTGGCTAGTGGGGAGTATGGAGCGGATTAGGGAGTTGCGGACAGAGCGGTCTCTTCGCAAGGCAGTTAGGAGTGAAGAGGGAAATATATCTTTGGTTGTGGGGTTGGATTGTAGGTGGCGGAATCGGCTGAGAATGATACGTTAGATACGGAGGTTAGCGTGATAAGGGGGGATAAGGGGGATTCTGTCTTTGTTTTTGTTGGGGAGAGGGATGTGAGGGCAGAGGTGCAGGAAACACAAGAGATGCAGTTGAGAGCATTTTCAACCACCAAAGGGAGTAACTTGTGGTCCTGTAAGCTGCTGTGTTCCTCTAGCTCCACACCGTGATATCTCTGACTCCAGCATCTGCAGTTCTTAATATCTCAGACATGTAAACAATACTTCTAAACATAAAAGTTTGAGATAACTTAGATGACCTAAAGATAGGGGGACAAAGTCAGAAGTCACACAACACCAGGTTATAGTTCAACAGGTTTATTTGAAATCACAAGCTTTCAAAGTGCTGCTCCTTTGTCAGT